TTAGGAATTAGTGGTACTCTATATAAATGATGTATGTATTCTTTGTTCAAATTAATTCAAGACTAATATACAGTTTTATTCAGAAAACTTATATGGTATCAGAGCTTGGTTCGAAACCCTAATCTGAAGGATTCGAAACCCTAGCAACCATCTCTGTTCGTTTTCATTTGGTTCGAAATCAACCCATCCATCGTGATTCGTCTGTCCGTCGCGATCCATCTAGGTTCAGGTCAAGACTCATCGTCACAACCTGCGGGTTGTCTGTTTCTGCCTCTTTCGTGCCTTCTTGCAGAGTCGAAACCCTAACAGCCGTAGCCTCTCTGTTCAGTCGCAACCCATCGGCTGTAAATTGCGATCAATTATCGCCCTTGCATCATCGTATCTCTCTCAGTCCTCATCGGCTTCATCTCGGTTCATCATCGCAACTCCCTCTCGCGATTTTCTGACTTTGGTTCTCTCTCTTTCTCTCTGTAGCTTCATCTCGGTTCATCATTGCGACTCTCTCTCACGACTCTGGTTCTCATCTCTCTATCTCTGTCTCGGTGATTTGTTATCAATAGTATTAAAACCTTTATTCATGTTTGACCCATTAATCTTTAGTTTATTACAATAATGGACTCTAAAATTCAAGACATTAAATGTAAACTCAATGGTGGCAATTATGCCTATTGGGCCAGTGTTATGAAGAATTTTCTTCTTGGTCAAAAAAAATGGGGCTATGTTTCTGGTTCTGCTCCTCGTCCATCGGACCCAAAGGTAGAAGAGTATCTGTCTTCCTGTGACACTTGGGATTGTGATAATGCCCAAGTTCTTACCTGGTTTCATAACTCTGTGGATGACCGTATTGGAATGATGTTTTCCAAGTACAGTACTGCCAAGGAAGTGTGGGATTATTTACTCAGTGTTTATCAGCAGTCCAATTTTGCCAAGCGGTATGAGTTGGAAACAACTATTCAGGGTGCTCGTCAGCGGGATCAAACTATTCAGGACTTTTATATTGAGATGACAGGTCTCTGGGATCAGTTGACTCTTATGGAACCACCTAGTCTCAAGATACTAGACGCTTATATTGAGTTTCGGGAACAAGGTTGTTTAGTCCAGTTCTTAACAGCTCTCTCCCCTCAGTATGAGGCTATTCGAGGTGGCATCCTTCACCGATCTCCTCTTCCCTCTGTGGATGCTATTGTTCGTGAACTCCTCTCCGAGGAAACCCGTCTTAAGACGGCCAGTCAGACTTTGCCTCATTTTGTGTTCTTGGCTCCTGCCAAGCCGCCCTTATTATCAACCCCTCCTTCTCATCAACTTCAGGCCATTGCGAAACCCAAGAGAGGACCATTAGGGCTAGATGAGTGTGCTTTCTGCCATCAGAGGGGTCATTGGAAGAACAATTGTCCTAAAAAGAGACGTCAGCCTGCTCCGTCTTCTCAGACACAGTTCCGCGGTACTACTTCGAGTACTTTCCGACCTCCTGCTGCTTACACTGCATCTACTCCGGCTCCCGATCCTGACTTGGCTTCCCTGAGTGCTCAGGTTGCACAACTTCAGCATATCTTGTCCACCTCTCAGTCATCCCCATCTGCCTCCGCTCTTACCTCTCTTCATTCAGGTTTGCTTGGGTCTTCTTCAGGTATCCTTTCTTCTGTTTGGATTTTTGATTCTGGTGCCTCACATCATATGACTCCTCACCTTTCCTTACTTCAAAATTGTATTCCCCCACACGTTCCTATTACTACTAATACTACTAATGGATCTGGTATGTCTGTTTTATCTGTTGGGTCTGTCTTACCCTCTGCCATGTCTACTGTTACTATTCCTTCTGTCTTTTATGTTCCTCAGTTATCTGTCAGTTTGTTATCTATCAGTCAACTTGATGCGTCTGGTTTTGATGTTATCTTTTCCTCTTCTGTCTGTTGTGTGCAGGATCGGGTGTCCAAGAAGCAGATTGGGACCGGCCGTAGAATTGGAGATCTCTATGTGGTTGAAAGCTTGCATCTCCCCTTATCCACCTCTCCAGCTGCACTTTTCTCGTTTCAATTAGATTCTCAGTCGAGTCAGTTTTACTTATGGCATTCTCGTCTTGGTCATTTGTCTATTGACCGCTTACGGTCTTTAGCTCAGTCAGGATTGTTGGGTAAAGTTTCTCCTAGTCAAATTGATAAATGTCGGGGGTGTAAACTTGCTAAAATGTCAGCTTTACCTTTTAATAAAAGTACGTCTATTTCTGTTTCTCCTTTCTCTCTTGTGCATACTAATGTATGGGGACCCTCTCCTGTTCTTACTAAAGAGGGTTCAGTATATTATGTGTCTTTTGTAGATGATTGTACTCGTTACACGTGGGTTTATCTTATGACTCATAAGTCTGACTTCTACCAAATATATCGTACTTTCCAGTCTATGGTCACTACACAGTTTGGATCTACTATTAAATTGTTGCGGTCTGACTTGGGTGGGGAATACTTTAAAACTGAATTTTGTGAATATTTGGCCAACTTGGGTACCATTCACCAAACTTCTTGTACTGATACACCTGCCCAAAATGGCCGAGCTGAGCGTAAACACCGTCATTTTCTTGAAACAGCTAGATCTCTTCTTCTCTCTGCCTCTGTTCCAGCTCCGTTTTGGGGCGAGGCAGTTCTTACTGCTGCTTTTCTTCTCAATCGTATGCCTACCCCCCTTCTTTTGGGTCGGTCTCCTTATGAGGCTCTCTTTTCTCAACCTCCTAATTACTGCATCTTTCGTGTTTTTGGGTCTGCATGTTTTGTCCTTTTACCTCGTAAAGATAGGACTAAACTTAGTGCCCGATCTGTCCTATGTTTTTTTTTGGGATATAGTCTCACTCAGAAAGGTTATCGCTGTTATGACCCTGTTTCTCGTCGCCTTTATGTCTCCCGCCATGTTGCCTTTCTCGAACGTCTATCTTACTTTCAGCTTCCTCCTCTCACCGCCCCAGTTTCCAAAGAGGATTTGGTTCATATTGATCCATTTCCTTCTGAGGTCCCATCTGATGAGTACATCTCCACAGTTCCTCCTGAGCTTATTCCATCTTCTCCTTCTGCTTCACCTCTGACTACTTCTCCTCCTTCGCCTCCTCCTCCGCCTTCTCTTTCTCTTCCGTTGTTAGTTTATTCTCGTCACAAGGCTCCTCCTCTACTAGTTGTCTCTACCCCTGCTGCTGATCCTCCTACTTCTGACGACTCTGATCCTGCTACACACCGATATCCTCCTCGAGCGCGTCATCCTCCAAAAAGGTTGGGTTGGCTAATACTTGTTTTTCTGCTTCCTATCGTACCTTTTTGTCTGCTATTCACTCTTTTGCAGAACCTCAGTCTTACAAGGAGGCCTGTCAGGATCCTCATTGGGTTCAAGCTATGGAGGATTAGTTGTTTGCTCTACAGAAAACGAGTACTTGGGAGTTGGTTCCTTTACCTGTTGGTAAGAATCTAGTTGGTTGCAAATGGGTCTACAAAGTCAAGACTCATTCTGATGGTTCTCTTGAGCGCTACAAAGCTCGTCTGGTGGCCAAAGGTTTCTCCTAGGAGTATGGTATTGATTATAAGGAGACATTTGCTCCTGTTGCCAAGATGACTACTGTCCGTACTTTGATTTCTGTCGCTGCTGTTCGTTCTTGGCTCCTTTATCAGATGGATGTTAAGAATGCTTTTCTTAATGGCACTCTCACTGAGGAGGTTTACATGCGTCCTCCCCCTGGTCTTCACCATTCCTCTGTCCAAGTCTGTCGTCTTTGGCGTGCTCTATATGGTCTGAAGCAGTCTCCTCGTGCTTGGTATGATCACTTTCAGACTGCTGTTACCGAGCTTGGGTTTCATCCTTCTGCTTCCGACTCTGCTTTATTTCTAAGACATACCTCGAATAGGTGTAGTGCTCTCTTTACTAATTGTAAATGATATGATCATCACTGGCTCTGACTCTTCTGCTATCTCTGAGGTCAAGCAGCATCTCTTTCGCACCTTCGAAATAAGGATCTGGGACCAATTGCGGTATTTTCTTGGCATTGAGGTGGCTTCTTCTCCCAAGGGTTACTTTCTGTCCCAGGCTAAGTATGCTAACGAGGTTATCCATTGTGCCAGACTTACTGACACTAAGCTGTCTGATACCCCCATTGAACTTAATGTAAAGCTCAACACTACTGATGGGTTCCTCTAGATGATCCTACGTTGTATCGGAGCTTGTGGGTTGCTTAGTCTATCTGACAGTTACTCGCCCTGATCTTGCCTATGCTGTCCACGTGATTAGTCAGTTTGTTTCTGCCCCTCGCTCTACACATTGGGCTGCTTTGCTTCGGATTCTTCGCAGTACTATCTTTCAGGGCTTGTTGTTCTCTTCTACTTCTTCCTTAGACTTGGTGGCTTATGCTGATGCTGATTGGGCTGGTGATGTTAATGATCGTAAATCTACTTCTGGTTTCTGTATGTTTCTTGGCGATTCCCTAATTTCTTGGAAAAGTAAGAAACAGACTGTTGTTGCCCGTTCTACTGCCGAAGCTGAGTATCGTGCTATGGCTCATGCTACTGCTGAAATTGTCTGGCTTCGTCAGCTCTTATCTGAGTTGGGCGTCCCTCAATCTTCCCCAACCTCTCTCTATTGTGACAACCGAAGTGCTATTCAAATTGCTCATAACACTGTCTTCCATGAACGGACAAAACATATTGAGATTGATTGTCACTTCGTCCGTCAGCATCTGCAGTCTGGCTTTATCTCGCTTCCTTTTGTCTCTTCGGCTCTGCAACTTGCTGACTTCTTCACTAAGACTCACACCACTGCTCGGTTTCGGTTTTTTCTTGACAAACTCTCAGTGTTTTCTGCTAAAACACCTTGAGTTTGAGCGGGGGTGTGAGAATATGTGTTCTCCTCGGATTAGGAATAAGTGTCCTATGTCTATTAGACTTCTATATATCTCAGTAATGTATTCATGTAGGGTTAGGAATTAGTGGTACTCTATATAAATGATGTATGTATTCTTTGTTCAAATTAATTCAAGACTAATATACAGTTTTATTCAGAAAACTTACAGAATCATCTGTGGGTCTTCTTCCAGTGAAAAGCTCCAACAAGAGAATTCCGTAGCTGTAGACATCTCCTACAGTTGAGACCTTTCCACCCATGCCATACTCTGAAATTCATGGAACTTCCATTCACACCATTGTATGATAAGATCAAACTTTTATATAAAATGTGAAACTTTCGAGAATTTGGAACATAAAAGTGTAATAAAAACCAAGGCATTATAGTATAGCCTAAAAACTTTATAATTAGTGATCATGGTGCAACAATAAGATTGATCTATTGCGACTTCGAGTTATTGGTTCAAATTACAAAAATAGTGTTTTTGTATGTAGAAGTAAGATTACGTATATTTGTTCCTCCTCAAACTCTGCAATCAAAGGCGGATTTATTAAGGGACTAGGGGTCAGATGCCCCCTCACTTTGTAATATTTTTAAAATAGCTTACCTGTACAAAACTGATGTGTTTTAATTTATTATAAAATTAGGAATTTTGATTTATAGTTACTTGTGCCAAAATTAGAGATTTTGATATGCTGAAAATTAAGGATTTTCATTTGTAGTGATTTGTGCCAACATTAGAGATTTTGATGTACTCAAATTGTTGATTTTGATTTGCGCTAAAATAAGGATTTTTAATTAGGGATTTATATTTTTTTTACTTTAAAAGTTGAAAATTAGTTGGAGTCAATTGTAAAAAAGTTCACATTAAAAAAAATTGCAACAAATATTTAAGTTTTATTCTTGTTGATTCCAAGGAATAAAAATTGAGGTTATAATTAGTAGTTGCCCCCCTTGAATTTATTTTCTAGCAACGTCATTATGTACAATGACGAGAGTCTCGTGCATTGAAACTGTCTTTTTAATTGTCATGGTGTCTTCAAGTCCTTTTTAGTTATCATGGTGTCTTCAATTTAATTTTGATTGATGAAGTCACTGCTTTAGTAAAACAAACACAATGCACCTAAAATTGTAGAAGAAGAAGAAGAAGAAGAAGAAGAACAACAACAACAACTTACCTGGAGCAGCATACCCTATGGTTCCTAGCTTCCTTGCTAAATTTACAAAGGAGCTGTGCCAAGCCAAAATTACTCACATGAGTAGTGAAATCATTGTCAAGAAACACATTGCTTGGCTTCAAATCACAGTGAGCCACGGGTGTTTCGTAGTGGTTATGAAGATAATCTAAGGCAGAAGCCACATCAATCGCTATATTCATCCTTTGAAGAATGCTTAAACATCCCTATTGGGACTGTCCCTCTTCTGAATGAAACCACTTTTCCAAGCTCCCATTCAGCATGCACTCGTACACCAAAGCTTTGAAATCATTGCCTTCAAAATCGATACTTGAGCAAGCGGTGACTGTTAGGGAAAATATATGATTCGCCACAAGTAAATCAATCAATGGGAATAAAAACTAATGCGGAAAAATTAAATCAAAAGCAACACAAGAATTTTACGTGGTTCCCTCAATGTGAGGTACGTCCACAGGATCAAAATTCGATTCCACTATCAACCAAAAAGTTTCCAAACGATTACAAACGAGACACGAATGGTCTCACAAACCACCCTTAGGTGAATTCTAAATAATCACAAACAAACAAGAGGAAAGACCTTACCAAATAGATGAACCAAAATCTTCGAAACCAGAGTTGAAGAGGACCCAAAATAACGAAATATTCACCAACTTAATTCCACACAAAACCAGTGCACTAACTTGAATGTACACCCAAGAATCAATGCACCCAAGTATCAATGTTGCTGCCGCTTTACTCAACTTCGGGGAACAACAAATTAATTAGGGCAGCCGCTGTGCATTATACTTCAAGAAAAACAAAGCCATACATATCTATATATATATATATATGGTTGAGTATTGGGTTTTGTAATCAAACCCTAATTGTTACCAAATTGAATTAGGTCTCCACAAATTAGATATAATATATAAAAATATATTATAACTAATACCAAATCAAATTAAACTCTTTTAATAAACCAATTGGGTCCCACACTCTAATAAGGAGGTATACCCAACAATTCTCCTCCTACCGACTTAGGTGGAGATATCAACCATACCCGCCAAAGTTCGACACTCTAAATGTTTGTCCCTTGACAAAGTCTTTGTCAACATATCGGAAATATTATCATCTGTGTGAACCTTTTCGAGTTATAACAATTTCGAATCTAACATATCACGAATCCAATATCTCACATCAATGTGTTTCGATCTAATGAAAAGTAGAATTTTTACTCAAGTGAATAGCACTTTGACTATCACAGTAAAGCACATACCTTTTTCGCTTTAAACCCAACTCTTGCAAAAATTTCTTCAACCATAACTTTTTTTCGTAAGCTTCTGCAATGGCAATAAATTCAGTTTCGGTAGTTGAGAGAGCAACACATTTTTGTAATTTAGATTGCCATGCCACAGCCCCCCCTGCAAAAGTCATCAAATACCCCAAAGTAGATTTCCTAGAATCAATATCACCGGCCATGTCAGAATCCGTGAACCCATCAAGCATCGGCTTACCATCCCCAAAACACAAACACACCTTCGAAGTCCCTCGAAGATACCTTAGAATTCATTTAACCACTGCCCAATGTTCTTTACCCGGATTAGAGAGAAACCGACTCACCACACCAACGACGTGAGCAATATCCGGCCTTGTACAAACCATGGCGTACATCAAAAAACCAACTGCTGAAGCATAAGGAATTTTCAACATCTCTTCCTTGTCTTTCTCACTTGTAGGACATTGATTCGAACTAAGCTTGAAATGACCCGCAAGTGGACAACCAACTAGTTTTGCTTTATCCTTGTTGAATCTCTCAAGAACCTTTTCAATATAGCTTTCTTGAGACAACCAAATTAGCACCTCTTTGCGATCACGAACAATTTTCATACCAAGTATTTGCTTTGCCGGTTCTAAATCTTTCATAGCAAAAGATTTACTCAACTCTAACTTCAACTTATTAATCATGATAGAATCTTGACCCACAATTAACATGTCATCAACATAAAGCAAAAAAATAATAAATTTACCATATGGAAAATTTTTCACAAACACACAATGGTCAGAAGTGGTTTTAGAAAAACCATTATTCATCATGAAAGAGTCAAATTTTTTGTACCATTGCCACGGGACTTGCTTGAGGCCATACAGACTTACTTTTCTTCAATTTGCAAACAAATTTCTTTTTCCCTTTTTCCACAAAACCTTCCGGTTGCTCCATGTAAATTTCTTCTTCAAGATCACCATGAAGAAGTGCGGTCTTCACATCAAGTTGTTCAACTTCAAGGTTCATACTTGCAGTCATGCTAAGTACAACCCGAATAGAAGACATTTTCACAACTGGCAAGAAAATCTCATCAAAGTCAATACCTTTCTTTTGCGCAAAGCCCTTTACAACAAGACGTGCTTTGTACCTTAGATTCTTGCTATCATTCTTTAATTTGAAAACCCACTTATTTTTCAGAATTGTCCTTCTCTTAGGCAACTTCACTAAATCATAAGTCTGGTTTTCAAGTAAGGAATTCATCTTTTCATCCATGGCATTTTTCCAATTATTTTTCTTTACATGCTCAATTGCTTCTTGGTAGCTATCAGGCTCCCCTTGATCAGAAATCAACACAAATTCATTGGGAAGATACTTTCTTGAAGGTTGCTGGTCCCTTGTAGATTTTCTCACCTCAAGTTGTGGTGGCAGTTCTTGAGTTGGATGCTCTTTCTCAATTTCTGGCTCAACTTCATTAGGATTAGCATCATCCTCTACATCTTCAATAGGTGGCTCAAGATCACCATGCAGAAATGCGGTCTTCACATCAAGTTGCTCAACTTCAAGGTTCATACTTGCAGCCATGCCAAGTACAACCTAAATAGAAGACATCTTCATAACTGGCGAGAAAATCTCATTAAAGTCAATACCTTTCTTTTGCCCAAAGCCTTTCACAATAAGACGTGCCTTGTACCTCAGATTCTTGCCATCATTCTTCAATTTGAAAAACCCACTTATTTTCAGAATTTTCCTCCCCTTAGGCAACTTCACTAAATCATAAGTCTGGTTTTCAAGTAAGGAATTCATCTCTTCATCCATGACATTTTTCCAATTATCTTTCTTTGCATGCTCAATTGCTTCTTGGTAGCTATCAGGCTCCCCTTGATCAGAAATCAACACAAATTCATTGGGAAGATGCTTTCTTGAAGGTTGCCGGTCCCTTGTAGATTTTCTCACCTCAAGTTGTGGTGGCAGTTCTTGAGTTGGATGCTCTTTCTCAATTTCTGGCTCAATTTCATTAGGATTAGCATCATCCTCTACATCTTGAATAGGTGGCTGCACATCTCCCCCATTTTCATCATCAACTGAAAATGAAGGAGATGGATCCATGTCAATGAGATCACTACTTTTTGGCTTCGGATGATCACCTTTGCCAAAGTCTTCAATTGTTTGATCTTCAAGAAACACAACATCACGGCTTCGAATGACTTTCTTGTCGACCGGATCCCACAATCTATACCCGAATTCATTATGCCCACAGCCAAGAAAAATACATTGTCTTGACTTACTATCAAGCTTGGACCTCTCATCCTTTGGAATGTGAACAAAGGTTCGACAACCAAACACTCTCAAGTGCTCATAAGATACATCTTTGCCAGTCCAAACTCTTTTAGGAACATCACCATTCAAAGGATAGGAAGGAGACAAATTGATCACGTCAATCGCTGTCTTCATTGCCTCACCCCAAAAGGATTTTGGCAATTTCGCTTATGAAAGCAAACACCTTATTCTTTCCACAATGGTGCGGTTCATCCTCTCGGCAACGCCATTTTGTTGAGGGGTCTTCTTAACTGTCTTTTGGTGCCGAATACCTTGGCTGTGACAATACTCATCATGTGACGCCCCGATTCTACACTATTGATTGCAGTCAAGGGAGAGTCACTAATGAGTCTTATGGTTAATAACCAAGTAAGATCCTAGATTGCCGGAGGAGTCAAATTAGCCTCCCTTCTAAGTCCAGCTTTCTTAGGCAGCGCACTACCCTTTTGACAGATCTTAAAAGGTATTGACACAATGTCTCATAAGTAATGAAAGGGTTCATACATAGAATATAAATACATAACAGCCACAAATATACTTAATTCAAAATATGGTTCCTTTACATTACATCCCAAAAGAAAGCTTAAATCTTCACATGAGTCTTTACAAAACATCCAAAAAGAAACTTCTAATTTTTCTAGGATAGCCAAAAGTCTTCAAAAGTTTCGGGCTCGTCGTCTCCAGCTATGAGTTCCGCTTCGTCACCTGGCATGATACGCCGTGAGCTTTGAATGCCCAGTAAACACACACACAACCTACCCCTTTTTTCCAGTCTAATACACAATCACGATTATAACATCAAGTAGTAAAGCATGATACTTCAATAAATAAATGAAGGGTTAAGTTAGATGTTAGCAAACTAGAAATCCCCCAAAGAGATTTCGTCCTCCCAACCACAAGAATCGGACGTGGATTATTCGGTATGCCCCCTCTTTTACTGCTTTGTTGCAAAACTAACCTCGGATGCCTACCAACGGTTATGTACCGCGTAGCACCAACCGCAGGGCCTTAAAAGAGACTGTAAAATAGGGCCTTGCCCGAATCCCTCCTTACACCAAACTACCTAGGGTCCGAATACAACCGCTCCGTTCAAGGGTTTCAAAAACCACTTGCGCAAGAATTTAACTTTCAAATAGGAAACGCATCCCAACAATCCATATATCACATTTCTCATCTTTTCATTATTCAAGTGTTCGAAAACCCAATACCCTCCCAATTAGGTTTCCCACTAAATTAAATGTTTTAAATCAAGTTAATCCAACTTGCGAGACAATAATATCCACATAGGCATGCATCCATAAAGCGAGGAAGATAAATAACATAACCATAATACACATAATAACATGCCAAGATACGCTCATATGTAAGTAGGCAATTCCATGAATTCAAGGGCATAAAACATCCATACATAACACAGTTTCCAGATTTAATATCACATGAAGATTGAGATAAAAGGACTATTTTAAATCTTCCACTGGACTCGGTCTCCCTATGGTTCATAGAGAATTTGATCTAGTTTCTATAACACTTTTCGGAAATGGGATTGCTTTTCCAGATTTTAAGTTATTTAGAAAATATTCCAGTGCTGTCCAGAATCTGTCCAGATCCGTCGACTGTTACGAAAATTTGATTTTCTTGCAAACCACTTGATATTTTTCGATGAAACCAATTTTAGTTGAAAGCTAACATCTTATGGAAGGTTTTGACATAAAATAGAGGTCCAGAATAATTTTTTTAATTGTTCTGGAATTTCTGGAAGTGGGCTGCAAAAACAGATTCTAGGGTATTTCGCCCAAAACAAGAAGATTTATGAAAAAGGGGTTCCACCAAGGGAAAGTTTCATTTCTTTTGTGAAGAAAATATGCCAACTATCACATGTTTAACTCAGAAAATTTGTTTGGAAGAGTGCCCATGAAAAGTTGAGAGATTGGTACAAAAAGAAGATGGTTTTATGCCAAAATGGGAAAAATACAAGAGAGATGTAATCAATACTCAACCCTTAGCATTTTTAACATAAGAACTTAGTAATAACAGATCTGAAAACATTATTTAGAACCTTTAGAAACATGTATTGAAAAAAAAGGAAAATGGAAGAGAAGGTTGTGTTTGTGGCTTACCTACTAAACTTTGCACATGAAGCTCTCTTCTTCCTCATTCTTCTCCTCTAGACTTCTCTTTCTTGCTCTCCTCCCTCTCTCTAACCGAAATGTGTGTGTGAGTGAGTGTTTTGTGTGTGTTTGCAAGCTAGGGGGTGTGTTGGTATTTATAGACAAACCTTTGAGGCAAAAAGTCCTAAAAGTCCTTTAGTTGGATATGGATGGAAAGGTTAGGATTTGTTTGAATTCTAAAGGAATGGAAGGGATTTGGGAGGCTTGTTAATTGGTTTAGGCAACTCCTAGTTGTAATGAAACTAGTTCTTGGATTTTGCATCCTAGGTCTAGGTCACTAGGTGTTGTTTTCCTAGAAGTCCATGATGGTGTTTCTTGAAAATTAGCTCCTCCTTGGGGAAGTGTGATGGGGTTATTATTTAAATCATTTTAGGTTCTAGGCACACTCCTCTAGGTGTATATATATGTATATATGTATCTTACAAAATATATATTACAAGATTGATGGTACTTCAAGGTACAAGGTACAAGTATTAGTTTTTGGGACAAGTTTTGAATTTAATTAAAGGGTGAGGGCCTGGAGTTAAATACATGTAACTTATGTAGAATTAAATTAGGTTAGGGATCCTAATCCGGTTAGGGAAATTCCTGTTTCGATAAAAACAAAAATAGTAATGCTAACCAACAAGATTCGAATTAATTCAAGTAAACGAGGGGGCTTTAAGAAAATAATTCAAACATTAGGGTCTTTTAAGTGAATACATATTTCAGGGGCTTCACACATCAAATGGCCCAATGTATTCACCACCATTGTATGATCGGATGCACTTCAATTTCAGCCCTGTTTCTCTTTCAACCATGGCCTGAAAATGCTTACATACTTCTAGAACTGATCTTTAGTTTTTAGTAAAAAAGCCCAAACTTTTCTTGAATAATCATCAATGAAAGTAACAAAATAAAGTGCACCACTATGTGTTCTAACTTTCAAAGGACCACAAACATCCGAATGAATCAACTCCAATACATTTTTTTTCCTAGAAGCAACATTTTTATGAAAAGAAACTCTATGTTGTTTACCCGCCAAACAATGAACACAAGTTTTGAGATGTGTACCTTTCAAATCGGGTAGAAGCTCTTTCTTGAACAAAACTTGTATCCCCTTTTCACTCATATGGCCAAGCCGCTTGTGCCACAATTAAGTAGAAGTATCATCTTCAAGTGCATGGACAACACATTTACAAATTTTTCCTTACATCGAATAAAGTTTATGAGTCTTTTTGCACTTAGCCACCACCAAAGAACCCTTTGTGAGCTTTCATATTCCATCATCAAATTTGTTGTTGAAGCCTTCATCATCTAGCTTCCCAGTAGAGAGCAAATTGAGGCGAATGTCGGGAACATGCCTCACATCTTTAAGCAACAACTTGCAGTCCAAATTTGTTTCCAAGCAAACGTCACCCATGCCAATAATCTTGGACAAACCTTCATTACCCATTCGAACAGAACCATAATCTCCTTTGGTGTAGGTAGTGAAGAAATCAACTCGAGAAGTCACATGAAAAGAAGCAACAGAATCAATCACCCAATTGCTCTATTGGCCCACAAAATTGATACAATCATTTTTACAAACGACCATGAGATCATCGGTAGTAACTGCCGTTGTGTCTTCTTGCTTCTTTTTAGTTTTCCAAGTTACCCAATTGCTTCCATTGAAGCTAGACATATGACCCACATTTCCCTCGATTGATTTACATAAATAATTAAACCCAAATAAATTGTAAGCTTTGATACCAGTTGTTAGGGAAAATATATGATTCTCCACAAGTAAATCAATCAATGAGAATAAAAACTAATGAGAAAAAATTAAATTAAAAGCAACACAAGAATTTTACGTGGTTCCCTCAATATGAGGTACGTCAACGGGATCGAAATCCGACTCCACTATCAACCAAAAAGTTTCCAAATGATTACAAACGAGACACGAATGGCCTCACAAACCACCCTTAGGTGAATTCTAAATAATCACAAATAAATAAGAGAAAAGACCTCACCAAATAGATGAATTAAAATTTTCGAAACCAGAGTTGAAGAGGACCCAAAATAACGAAATGTTCACCAACTTAATTCCACACAAAACCAGTGCACCAACTTGAATGTACACCCAAGAATCAATGCACCCAAGTATCAATGTTGCTGCCGCTTTACTCCACTTCGGGGAACAACAAATTAATTAGGGCAACCGTTGTGCATTATACTTCAAGAAAAACAAAGCCATACATATCTATATATATATGGTTAAGTATTGGGTTTTGTAATTAAACCCTAATTGTTACCAAATTGAATTAGGTCTCTACAAATTAGATGTAATATGTAAAAATATATTATAACTAATACCAAACTAAATTAAACTCTTTTAATAAACCAATTGTATGATATATAAAAATATATTATAACTAATACCAAACTAAATTAAACTCTTTTAATAAACCAATTGGGTCTCACACTTCAATAAGAAGGTATACCCAGCAATGACAATCTTGACAAGGTTTCTGTGCCGGATATTTTTCAAAGCTTGGCATTCGGCAATAAAGCTCTTGGAAGCTCCACGTTGTTGAAGATTGAGTACCTTCACTGCAACAATTGTTTCATCTGGATCGAGAATTCCTTTGTACATTGTCCCAAAATTACCCGAACCAATCAAATTGCTTGAAGAGAATCTATTAGTTGCATTGAGGAGCTCTTCGTAAGAAATCTTTGGGTGTTCATGCCCAACGGAAGATGATGTTGATTGTGGCTTACTCTTCAACTTTTTTGCACAGAAAAATAACCAAGAGGCAACAATTATCAAAACCAAAATCAACTTGAAAGCAATGTGCTTCTTGGGCTTTTTAGTCGATTGCACGGGGCACAGGTGAAGATTCAGTTCTCGGATCCCCCCACAGAGCTTCATGTTGCTAGACACCTCAACTCCGCTCACATCTTTGAAGACCCCTTGAGCAGGCACTTCACCCTTAAGATCGTTAAATGAAAGATTCAAATGTTGTGGAAAGCTTGGCCATGTATTGTGGACTTGGGCCAGACAGATTGTTGGGAGAAAGGTCTAAATATTGAATGCTTTTCAAACCACTCAAAGCAAGAATGTTTCCTTCAAACAAATTCCCCTGCATAGAAAGTAGCTCCAAAGCAAAACAATTTTCCAAATTGCTTGGAATCTCTCCAGACAATCTGTTTTTTCGAAACATCAAGTGCTGCAAGATTTGTCAAATTCCTAACTTCCTCTGCAATGGACCACTCAAAGAGTTGTATGACACATTAAGGACTATTGAGAGAGATGAGAGACTCAAGATCTATTTGGGTATGGTTCCATTGAGTTTGTTGTGAGAAAGGTCTAGAGTTTGTAGGCTTTGGCAGTTGCCTAAACTTGAAGGTATGTTTCCTCCTAAGCTGTTGTTTTGGAGATAAATATACAACAGTTGAGTGATGTTGCGAAAGGAAGATGGTATCTCTCCACTCAATTGATTTGATTCCAAATGCAGTCTTTTCAGGTTTGATAGCTTTCCGATCGAAGCCGGAACGGTACCTGCATGGGCAAGGCCACATGGATGAGTGCGGTGTCAATTGATTCCACTAGATTTTAAAGTACCATTAAAAAAAATTACTAGAAACTCTTATAACAAATCAAATCTTGAATTTTTAATTAATCTAATTTAGTCCTAAATTTTTAGCTACTTTAGTCATTACTTTAAAAATAATAATAAAAATAAGGATAAATTACATATACACCCCGAGATTTGATTAAAATACGAATCGCCTCCTGTGGTTTTAAAAATTACATTCTATCCCCTGAGATTTCTAATTTCATAACAAATCGCCATTTTTATTAATAAATTATTAAGTCAATTAACGGTTTTTAATGATATTAAAAATATGTTTCAATTAATAATTTAGATAATTTTATTATTGTATAAGAGAGTAATTATAAATTTCATTTCTTTAAGTTAATTTTATTAAATAAAAAATTTTAATAAGGAGATATTTATAATTTTTTAAATTATAAGAGACAATTTATATTTTAAGCAAACTTAAAAATTTTAAAAAAAGTAAAAAATAAAAAAAAAAGAAGAAGGTGTATTAGCAATTCACCCTAAAAACTAAAGAAAAGAAAAGAAAAGCCATTGCCAATTGCCATTTGCCATTCACAGAAGCAATCTCCATCCCCAATCCCAGCAACCCCCTTTCCCCCAACCCTAATCCCCATTCCCCATTAACCCACACACCCAATCCCCATTCACACACACACACATACATGTATATATTGAATAAAATTAGGACTTGATTAGAAAATAATAAGAGAATTCATACAGGCTGGCCAGAGATAATGTTTGAAGTTATAGATGTAGAGGAGAAATTTGAGGACATAATCCATGATCACCACCTACAAGGCTCCCTCAAAATTCACCTCTGCTGAGTACCAACTGGGGGTGGAAGTAGGGTCCGTTGTGAGATCAAGAATATGGAGCTAGGGTTTCGTTGGCGGTGATGTTTGAAGTTTCAAGCAGAGGAGGTGAGTGAAGTGAGTAAAAATTAATCAAGTCTTGGTCCTAGACCCAATGCGATACTCACTCCAAAGTGGAGCTAGGTCGGACACCTCAGCCCTATGGCCAACACTTGCTCCGAAGTAAGACAATCACAGAGGGTTTCATCCTCTGTGGTCAAGTACATGTTTTTGTGAGAATAGACGGTCTTGATCAGTTAAATGGTTATATGATTTGATGCCGTCAAGTTTAAAATAATTGTTATTTTAATTAGTTTTTTATTTTTTTATTTTTTATAAAATGTTGAGCAAAAAAGTGAAAAATAAAAATAAAATACGATTCGATGCGGTCAAGTTTGGGGATTTTTTTTTAAGGTCTCTGGATTTAAAATTTTATAACATAAAGGACACTCAATATTTTTATAATGTTTAAGATCCCTTCAACATCAATCCAGAGAAAATTCGATTTAGAGAATTTCTCTGGATATATCACAGAGAAAATTCTAAATTTCTCTAGACAACAATAAGGACTAGTGCTCTGCTACAGAGAAAATTGGGTTGGTCCAGAGAAATTCTCTGATTTGGACTGAATTTTCTTTGGTTTGGTCCAGAGAAATTCTCTGGTTTAGATTGAAATTTTTCTAAATTGATTTGAAGGACCTTAGACATTATCTCATTGGCATTTCATCAAACACCTTCTTTGCTAAATCCATGTCTCCAGCTCTGTGCGTATTTTGTATATTTTCAAAACAACCTTATGCAGAATCAGAATCAAGTATTTTCTTTGATGAAATATGATCATTTGTTCTAATTTGAAAAAGAATATAACAAAATTATTTTGAGAGTAAGAAATTCATGAATTGAAAGCAACTGTAAATTGTATGTAATTCATTCATAGCATATTTATTACATTGAAGACACGGAATTTAATTGAAGACACTTGATCATTTTTCTTTCTGAAACTCCAAAGACTATAATTGTCCTTAATGTAGTCAGGAAAGCTTACAAAACTACTGTGTGGAAGCCACCCATATAACAATGGTGCATGTTTTGATGACATCATCTCGTGTTTGCATCTTTGGCCACCATGGCTCGTCTTTCTTATCACCATGGCCCTCATTTCGGAGCTCTGTTCACCACAACTGGAGTTCGAAGTCACCTCGAACTGACTCATTGGTAGAGTAGTAAAAAGTGCAATATTCACGAACCCTCGCAGCTCAGATCGCAGTGGTTCAGCTTAGATCGCAGCATTCCGGCGATAGCGTGATAAATACAGAGGCGAAGGTGAAGATCGAAATGTGCACAAAGAGAGAGGGTTTGGTTTGGATAGAATGAAGATCAGAAAGAGAAAGAGAGAGTCAAATTTCTCTGATCTGATATATGGGTGTGTGTTTAGGGATCTTAGACAACAAAAAATAATATTATGAATCTCTTCCATCACTAAAAATGGAAGAGGAACCTTAGACTAATTTTCTCAGTTTAAAATAGTTATTATTTTAATTAGTTTCTTTTATTTTTTATGAAATGGCATTTAAAAAAAAAAAAAACTTATCAATGTAATTGCAAAAATTAGTTATTGTTTGATGGAGTAGTTTATAATTTTATATTTTAACATTTGTAATGTTTACCATTAATCTATGATTTTTTTTAAAGGAAAAGTCTGGGATAATTTTTTGATTGAGTGGTTATGTGGTAGAGATTAAATTTATATAGGGTGGAATCCATGTGCAGAATTAATCTGAATTACAAAATAATAATTCTAAATAATTAAGTCTGAATTTATGTCTTTGTTAAAAAAATAGACAATTAATTTGTTATAAGGGTCAATTAATTAAAAATTCATCATAAAATTTGTGTAAGATCTATTTGATTCGAACGAAATCCTTTTTTTACCTGTAAGAAAGTTTTCCCCCATACTGAGTGTGTCCAAGTTGAAGAGGTTGGCAATAACTGCAGGTATAGTTCCATGAATTCTGTTTCCACAGACAAGTAACTTCGTCAATTGGGTTGACAGATTGGCGATAGCTCGGCAACACGCCTCCGAAACGGTTGTCAGCAATGTCCAGGAATTCTATCTGGCTGCAATTGGTCAGAGAAGTTATGAAACTCAGATCATCCGGTCTACCACTTCCGAGATCATTGTCAAGAACATTGAACCACCACAAACTCTGTAAATTCCCAAAACTCATAGGTACATTGCCTGTGAAATTATTGTAAGGAATGTCAATCCTTGAAATCTGCGAAGCATTTGACAGCAAATCGGGTATGGGACCAGTGAAGAAATTGTTTGCCAAGTAAAGATTCCGGAGATTGGGAAAAACAACCCCAATGTTGGGTCTGAGATTACCACTGAACTTGTTGAAGGATAAAGATATGAGCTCGAGCGACGGAAGATTGTAAAGCGAGTGAGGAAAAAATCCCGACAGTCTGTTTACCGACAATCCGAGCATCGTTAGACTCCGCATTTGGGACATGGAGTCTGGTAATTCTCCCTCCAGATTGTAATTATACGACAAGTATAGTTCTTGGAGAGACGTGAGGTTTCCAATTGTACCCGGGACAGTGCCTGTAAGATTGTTGTTTTTAAGGTACAGCATTACGAGGTTGGAGAGTGAGCCGAGTTGAGGAGGAATGTGGCCTACAAGGTAGTTATGGTCTAACAGAAGATTTGCAAGGTCAGAACATCGAGACAGGTTGGCGGGGATTGTACCCGTCAAGAAATTGAAGCTCAAGTTGAGGTTTTGAAGCCTGGACAGGTGGCTGAGTTCTAGGGGGATTTCGCCATGGAATGCGTTGTCGCCGTGGTCGAGGGATCGGAGGAATGAGAGATTTCCGATGGCCGGAGAGATGGTTCCGGTGAGCTGATGGGCTTGGAGGTCTAATCTGGTGATTCTTTGGTGTTTGAGGGAACATGTGACACCAATCCAGTCGCAGAAATGGAGAGAGGTGTTCCATGAGGATAAGACTCCTTCAGGATCTTCAATTATGTGTGATTTGAAGTTGAGTAATGCTAATTTGTCTGTTGAGTCGGTAAGTGTGGCTGATGGAGAACTGCAGTGAACTTGTTGAAGGATAAAGATATGAGCTCGAGCGACGAAAGATTGTAAATCGAGTGAGGAAAAAATCCCGACAGTCTGTTTACCGACAATCCGAGCATCGTTAGACTCCGCATTTGGGACATGGAGTCTGGTAATTCTCCCTCCAGATTGTAACTATACGACCAGTATAGTTCTTGGAGAGACGTGACGTTTCCAATTGTACCCGGGACAGTGCCTGTAAGATTGTTGTTTTTAAGGTACAGCATTACGAGGTTGGAGAGTGAGCCGAGTTGAGGAGGAATGTGGCCTACAAGGTAGTTATGGTCTAACAGAAGATTTGCAAGGTCAGAACATCGAGACAGGTTGGTGGGGATTGTACCCGTCAAGAAATTGAAGCTCAAGTTGAGGTTTTGAAGCCTGGACAGGTGGCTGAGTTCTACGGGGATTTCGCCATGGAACGAGTTGTCGCCGAGGTCGAGGGATCGGAGGATTGAGAGATTTCCGATGGCTGGAGAGATGGTTCCGGTGAGCTGATGGGCTTGGAGGTCTAATCTGGTGATTCTTTGGTGTTTGAGGGAACATGTGACACCAATCCAGTCGCAGAAATGGAGAGAGGTGTTCCATGAGGATAAGACTCCTTCAGGATCTTCAATTATGTGTGATTTGAAGTTGAGTAATGCTAATTTGTCTGTTGAGTCGGTAAGTGTGGCTGATGGAGAACTGTTTGGAAACGTGAAAGTGAGGAAGAGTAAGAGTAAATGGGTGGCATGAAAGGTTCCTAGGAAGAAGAGGGTTGAACTGATCACAAACTGAACCATTTTGGTGAAAGAAAGTAAGATTGGTATGGGGCAGTGGTAGTCACATCCTTGAAGGCAAGCCTTTATACTCATCCTGTAGGAAAATTGGTGCAATTTATCATTTTTATTATTTTGATTGAGGCACTTTATATTATAAATTTTGATAAAAATGATAGGAAATAAAATAGGGGTACATATAATATTATGATGAGATTTTTTTATTTTTTCTTTCCTCTAATGAGAGATATTGTTTTGCTCTCTTATTGTTTTCTCCAAGCGATCAAGATAACTGATACATAAAGTGTTATTTTTTATGATAATTTAATAATTAATAATTACTTTCTTTTGAAATATTTTTGATTATTTTTTTCATTTTCCATTATTATTTTAACTAATAGTCGCATCCCATTATTTATTTATTTATTTAGAAAGACTTTTGGTTATTTCAATTTTCAATAATTATTTTGACTATACTATCTAATAAAATTGGGTGAACACTAAACAATGTCAAATAATATTTTAAGGCTGTTAAAATAATTACTTAAGCTCTATTTGTTTGAACGAAAAACATATTCTAACATGAAGTATTTTTCTATGTTTGGTAGTGACAGTGGCAAGACGAAAGTACACTACAACATACAAGAGTTTTAGAAACAAAATTTTTGATTCCTAAAAGTGAAAATTTTGTTGCATAAGATATTTAGAAATTAATTTCTATTATCGTGAGGATAATCGCTAAAAGATCGTTCTGAAAAGTCAAAAATAAGACTTTTAATGATAAAATTTTCAAAATGTCACTAATAAATATACTTTTAGGGACATAATAACTTGGTCTTAAAAAGACTTATTTTTTTTAGACAAAAAATTTGGTCTCAAAAAAGATAATAATTCATCACTAATTTTCAATTTTCATTTCTAAAAATATAATGACAACGCTTTTCGCAACAAAAATATTTAATGCCAAAAAAATAATTTTATCCTTAAATTTTGGTCTCTAAAAGTTCAATTTTTTGTAGTGGTGAAGGTGGAGGTGAAAGTGGTGGCGTGGCAACGGCAATGATGGCAACAGTGGTGGCGCTGGTGTTCATGGTGACACTACAAGAATTTTCACTTTTGACAACTAAATTTTTAGTCACCAAAAGTTAATTTTTAGTCACCGAAGGGTTTTAGAGACTAAATTATTTGGTCGCAGAAGTAGTCGTCGAAGAATTGTTGGTAAAGGTCATTAGCAACTTAAATTTTTGTAGTCGCCAAATATATTCAATTTCCGACTAAAATTTTAGTCGCCAAAAGGTTAGACATTAAATTAAATTAGTACATTTTTAGCGACCAAACTTTTAGTCGCCTAAAGTCCCACATTTTTAGCTACTAAAATTTTAGTCGGCAAAGAGTTCTTGTTTGGCTACTAAAAATTTGGTCGCCTAAAGTCCCACATGTTTTGCTACTAAAATTTTAGTCGGCAAAGAGTTCTTGTTTTGGTTAATAAATATTTGGTCACCTAAAGTCCCACTTTTTTGGCTACTAAATTTTAGTCAGCAAAGAGGTCTTGTTTTGGCTACTAAATATTTGGTCGCCTAAAGTCCCACATTTTTTGCTACTAAATTTTTAGTCGGCAAAAGTGTTTTTATTCTTTAGATTTTGTTTTAGCTACGAAATATTTTAGTCGCCAAATGTTTGATTTTCTTTTGGCTACAAAACTTTTAGTCGCCAAATGTCTTTTTTTTTTTTTTTTTACAAAACTTTTGGCAGCCCAAAGTATTTTCCCAATTTCTTTTTAACTACTAATTGTTTAGTCGCCAAAAACATGATATTATGTTTTATCGCAAAATTATAATATCTCCACAACCTATCTATATTCCATGCAACCTGTAATACGTATATAAACAAAATGATACGTACTATCAATCATTCCACAATCTGCATCCATATACAAAAAATAAATAACTTTAAATGTCAAAATCCATACAAACCAACTACTGTCCAAACTAAAAAATAATTCCATACAAAATATATCATACAAAAATCAAAGTCCTCCGTATACAAAAAATACATTTACTACCAAGCGAAATTATCATTTGGCATGGTACAAATTACCATCGTAATCTGTACCACGACAAAAGGTGATATATATACCACGACAAAAGCTTTTCTATAGACCATGACAAAAGGTCATATATGTATGCCGACAAATGGTCATATATATGTATCACGACAGAAGGTGATCTATGTACCATGACAAAATTTTTTCTATAGACTATGACAAAAGGTCATATATGTACGCCGACAAATGGTCATATATGTACCACGACAGAATGTGATCTATGTACCAAGGTAGTCATTATCTGTTGATTGCCAAAAGTTTATTGTATCAGTAATAGTTAACTACACAAAAGCTGAGGACGACAAAAGTATTATATTAGTTCTATACAAAAGTGAAAATTCTTCTCCATACACCAATGTAGATTATCCACAAGTCCACGCAACAAAGGCATCTACGAAAAAAAAAATAATAATAATAATAACAATAATAATAATAATAAAACATTGAATTGATTACAAAATATCAATCCAGCCAGCTATAGGGAACATGTTCTAACATGCATTTAAGGTAGAACAATCGAGAAATGTCTTCTTGGAAATAAAAGAAAGTATATATATATATATATATGTGTGTGTGTGTGTGTGTGTGTGTGTGTATCATGCAATATTTATTCCAACCAATTGCACAAACAATCTAATATGTAATTTCTTCGTCCTATAAATATATAAAGATAATTACTAGAATATGTAGATGTTATTTTCATAAAGTTGTCTCTCTTTAAACTAAGTGTAGCAAGTTTTTCGACTAAGTGTAAGGCATTTTCGGCTCAAACTCCAAGCCTACGGGTCCTAATTACATTCCATCAGTTGTCACAGGTCGCAATTGTCATGGGGAAGCAATCCATGAGAGCCACACGGTGATTCGGGAGCTGTTTTGAATTTTCGCCCCCGAAATGCCGTTTTTCAAGTAAGTTTAAGGCGTATTTGGCTCTAACTCCCAACCTACGGGTCCTAATTACATTCCGCCAGTTGTCACAGATCGTAATTGTCATAGGGAAACAGTCCATGAGAGCCATACGGTGGTTCGGGAGTTGTTTTGAATTTTCACTCCCGAAACGCCCTTTTCGAGTAAGTTTAAGGCATATTCGGCTCTAACTCCTAACCTACGGCTCCAGATTACATTCCGTCAATTGTCACAAGTCCTATTTGTCATGGGAAAACTGTCTATGAGAGCAACACGGTGGTTTAGGGGCTGTTATGATGTTTCGCCCCCGGAACGTCCTTTTCCGAGTAAGTTTAGGCCGTATTTGGCTTTAACTCCCAACCTACGGGTCTGTATTACATTCTGTCAGTTGTCACAAGTCCTAATTGTCATAGGGAAGCAGTCCGTGAGAGCCACACAGTGGTTCGAGGGCTGTTTTGAATTTTTGCCCCTAAATCGCCCTTTTTCGAGTAAGTTTAAGGCGTATTCGGCTCTAACTCCCAACCTACAGGTCTGGATTACATTCCGTCAGTTGTCACAATTCCTATTTTTCATAGGGAAGCTGTCCATGAGAGCCAAAAGGTGGTTTGGGGGCTGTTTTGAATTTTTGCCCTCGAAACACCATTTTTCGAGTAAGTTTAAGGCGTATTCAGCTCTAACTCTCAACCTACGAGTCCGGATTACATTCTGTCAGTTGTCACAAGTCCTATTTGTCAGTGGGAAATTGTCCGTGACAGCCACACAGTGGTTCGGGAGCTGTTATGAATTTTTGCCCCCGAAAAGCTCTTTTTGAGTAAGTTTAAGGCATATTCAGCTCTAACTCTCTACCTATGAGTCCGAATTACATTTCGTCAGTTGTCACAGGTTCTATTTGTCATGGGGAAGTTGTTCGTGAGAGTCACATGGTGGTTCGGGAGCTATTTTTAATTTTCGCCTGCTGAAACACCTTTTTTCGACTAAGTTTAGGAAGTATTCGGTCTAATTCCCTACCTATGGGTCCGAATTACGTTCCGTCAGTTGTCACAAGTCCTATTTGTCATGGGGAAACTGTCTGTGAGAGCCATATGGTAGTTTAGGGGCTGTTATGGATTTTTGCCCCCGAAAAGCCCTTTTTCGAGTAAGTTTAGGGCGTATTCGGCTCTAACACCCAATCTACGGGTCTGAATTACATTCCACATCGTCATCCATGGGCTCAGTCGGTACAACATCAGTGCTGTCATCTTGTTGGAACACATCATGAGGTTATGGCACATCCACCTCGGGCACATCCCAAATTCTTCGATGTAAATATATCATATAAAAATCAAAGTCTTCCGTATACAAAAAATACATTTACTACCAAGCGAAATTATCATTTGGCATGGTACAAATTGCCATCGTAATCTGTACCACGACAAAAGGTGATATATGTACCACGACAAAAGTTTTTCTATAGACCATGACAAAAGGTCATATATGTATGCCGACAAATGGTCATATATGTACCACGACAGAATGTGATCTATGTACCAAGGTAGTCATTATTTGTTGATTGCCAAAAGTTTACTGTATCAGTAATAGTGAACTACACAAAAGCTGAGGACGACAAAAGTATTATATTAGTTCTATACAAAACTGAAAATTCTTCTCCATACACCAATATAGATTATCCACAAGTCCACGCAACAAAGCCATCTACAAAAAATAAAATAAAATAAAATAAAATAAAAATAATAATAATAAAACATTAGAATTTATTACAAAATATCAATCCAGTCAGCTATAGGGAACATGTTCTAACATACATTTAAGGTAGAACAATCGAGAAATGTCTTCTTGGAAATAAAAGAAAGTATATATATATGTATCATGCAATATTTATTCCAACCAATTGTACAAACAATCTAATATGTAATTTCTTCGTCCTATAAATATATAAAGACAATTACTAGAATATGTAGATGTTATTTTCATAAAGTTGTCTCTCGTTAAACTAAGTGTAGCAAGTTTTTCGACTAAGTGTAAGGCG